GTTGCCCATAAACTAGCACAAGCAATCAACAAGTGGGATCTCTTCTTAATAAAAAGCTTCTGCATAGCAAGAGAAACCACCAGCAGAGTGAAGAGACAACCCACAGTGTGGGAAAAGATTTTCACCTGCTCTCTTCAACTTGATCTGTAAGCTTAATGTTACTGCTACCCAAATCTTAGCAGTTTCCATAGACATAAACATGATTTTTCTAAAACTTACATACAACAGCACAGGCCTGAATGTTAAAATGATCTTGGAAAAGGAGAATAAAGCAGGAGGAATTAACTATTCAATTGAAGGCTTTTTATATAGTGACAGTAACCAAGAGAAGGTGGCACTGGTGGAGTAATAAACATGTAGATCAATGGTACAGAATGGGGAGCAGAGACATAACACTCAAGGAAATATGGCCAACTGAGTTTTCACAAAGATGCAGAAACAATTCTATGGAGGAAAGACATCCTTTTCAACAAACGACACTGAAGCAGTTGAACATCCATGGATGGAAACAACAAACCAAAAATAAAATTAACCTTGATCTAAACCTTATAACCTGAACAACTTTTAGCTCAAATGGATTGAAGATTTAAGTGGAAAAGATACAACTATAACACTCCCTGGAACAAAATGTGAAAATCTTTAGGACTTAGACATAGGCAAAAACTTCTTAGGCTTTATATTAAAATTACAATTCACAAAAGAAACATTTCATAATGTTTTTAAAAAATGAAAATAAAGCTCTTGCTCAGTGAAAGATTGGGCTGAAAAGAAAAAACAGACAGGCCACAGATTGAGGTAAGATATTTGCAAACTACATATATAATAAAGAACAAGTATATAGGGATTATATAAATAATTCTCAAAACTCAACAGTAAAAACAAACAATCCCATTGGAAATGAGTAAAAGCCACAAATACTTTTTTACTAAAGAGGATATACATATGGCAAATAAGTATATGAAAAGATAGCATTCCTAGGGAAATGCAAATTAAAACCACAGTGAAACATCACCACACACCTGTCAGAATGGCTAGCATAAAAACCACCAGATGTTGATGAGGATTCGGATCACTCCTACATTGATGGTAGGAATGTAAAATGGTCCAGACATTGTGGAAGATACCTGGGCAGATTCTTAGAAAACTAAACATGGATCTTCTGTGTGACTCAGCAGTTGCATTCTTAGGCATTTATCTTAGAAGAATCAAACATGGTACACATACAAACTTTAGCATAACAGCCAGCAACTAGGGACAACTGAGATATGATTCTGTGGGTGCTTGGTTCGACAAATTGTGTTATATCCATACTGTGTAATATGACTTAGCAATGAAAAACAGCTAACTATTGACACATGCAGTATCTTGAATGAATATTTTAATCTCTGGGGAGTGATATGAGTGAAAAATGCAAATCCTAAAAGAACATACACTATATGATTTCATTCATGTAAATTTCTTTAAATGACAGAATTATAGAAAAAGAGAATAGGTGAGTGGTTGCCAGAGGTTAGCAGAGGGGTAGGGAGAGGTCATAGCAGCTGTAAAAGGGCAATAAAAGAGGTCCTTATGCTGATAGAATGTTTTGTATTTTGACCGTATTGATGTCAGTCCCTGGTTGTGTTATTGTATTTAATTTACAACATGCCATTGGAAAAAACTGGGGAAAGCTATGTGGCATTCATGTTATCTCTTAGAACCAGCTGTTAATTTCCAGTCACCTCAAAATGCTGAAGTATAATTAAAAATAAGAGGAACTCTTTAAAAGGGATTGTATCAAATTGGAGTGAACAATTGTGTAATGCATTTTAGGTTGCTTTAGTTGTTTGTCAAAAGCATTGGTTGTAATTTATTTACCAAAGGCAAAAGTTTCTATGCTTTGGGGTTTATGGGTCTTTTTATTTTGAGAAAAATCTCAGAAGATAAAGGATGTATTTTTCTTTGCTATCTTGAGATATTTTAAGATCAAAGTGAGCTACCCTGGTTTATTTGAGAAAGTTCTCTTTTTATCATTAATTCGATGGCAAGCCATGTATATTCAGTACTCAATAACACGTAACCATGACTATTCAGTTCATAAAAAGCAAAAGTGAAATTTACATATACTCTCCTAACTGCAGATTCCTGGGGTGGAAGACTCCACCCAAGGCCTCATATCTGCTGTTGGGGGTCCTCCCTTCTCCCAGCTATTCTGTGTGTTGCGAATGAGTCTGGTCCTGCTAGGGCAGACACTCATCATGAGGGATGGGCCAGTCTTTTCCTGTGGCTGGGAGGCAGGCCAGTGTTGGACAGCCCTGCCTGATCCTCCCGGAGGAAAAGACTATAACCAGGTCACTGCCTGTGAGGTCAGTGATCCATGGATGTGCCATCGAATGAACAAATAGATGAGCCACCCGCGAGAGGATTCTAGGAATTTTTTTTTTTCCATTTCAACAGAAGATCTACAAAGAACTGAAAAGAAAAGCATGAAGCCCATTACATTATAATATGATCAAAACAATTTGAATGAAATTGCTGGTGGAATTATTTGACTGCAGGTTGCAGGGTTGGTAGTCCTTTCTATTTCTGGCCAGATGCCCTAAATAGCAGCTTTGAAGTTGCTTTTTCACATTCTTTGTACAATGGGGATGGAGGATCACGACCTGTAGAAAACCAGAGAGAACTGGCAGTGGGATCATGGGTTTTGACTAGGATGTGCCAAATCCTTTGGGTTGCTTCACCCTTCAATCAAAATATTCATGTATGTCCTGATGTTTAAATGACAGCCAAATATCTGAGACTTTCCTATCCACACATTTCCTTGCGGAACTGGTAACCACTATTCTGTTGCTTCCAGTTAACGAGAGGGCACGAGAGCGCTTCTTGATGGTGACATCTGGGATTATCATGTCAGTACTTTTAGTCAAGGGACATCTAATGCTAGCTTCCTAATACTCGGGTGACCCCAGGAAAATCAAAACTAGATCATTTTAATTAAAATGGAAGCTGATGAAATTCATTTTAAAAATATGAAAGGCGAGTGAGAGGATCTCAGTGTGTCTTAGAACAGAAGGTGAGAGGAGGGATAAAAATGCCGGCCTTGTTCAAAGTTGGTGACCGACCATGGGTCAGAAGTTTCCTGTAATTTTGCTGGAAATAGCCCACAGCACATCATCCCCGGACGAGGGGTCTTTAGGTTCTATGAGGTTTTGATTTTTGTCTTTTAAAAGTATTGTTTACTATCAGGAGAGAATTCTACGTTGCTGTTTTATATACCAAATAATTGACTTTTTTTTCTTTAAAGAAAAAGAAACCATGACACATTGGGTGAGCCTGGAGTTCAGATATAGAATTCAAATGAGTAAATTCTCATTGTAATCTACTTCAGACCTTCTGAACCATTCATCAGACCTTAAAGTGAACGTCCTGTGGTCTCTGCAGGGAGCAGAGGGGGAAGGAAGAGGAGGGAGAGGGATGCGGTTTTGTCTAATTTTATAATGAAGAAGTCTTGAAATCCACTGAATTTCATGGCTTTGTCTAAGATTCATTTGTGACTATTTGTTGCAGTCTCAACTGATCTTAGAGATGCGTATAACTCTCATCTTCCTTGGCAGTTTTAATCTTTTCCTATGGGATCAGAAGACACTGAAGCTCCATGAACTAACAAAAGCCCACATCAGAGTTGCTGGATTTGCCCCAGTTCTGTTCTTCCAGCCCGAGCTTTGTCACAGGGGCCGGCCTGCACCCCAAAACTTCCTGCCTCCCGTGGCCTTAGGGGCATACAATGCACAGTTTGCCAATAACACAGCGGTGAGAAGTATGCTATTTACAGCAAGCAGAAATGCAGCCTTCTGCATATCAGTAAGTGTCACCTGCCCAAACACCAAGGGAGGAAACAAACACTGACCTGTTTTTATTCCATTCAAAATCAGTACAATGTAGTAGACATTGCTTTTTAAATATCATGAGCATATTAAAAGTAAACAGAAAAATTGGGAACAACTGAAATGTAAATAAATTGTAGAACCAACGTAATTTAACAGAATACACAAGAATAAGTATGTGTGTAGCCATGAAAGAGTAACAATGGTGTGTAACTAAGGAAATTGGAAGACAGCATAGTTCATGATTTCTGTTGAGCTTGCTTTAAGGTAGAAGAGAAGGAAAAGGAAATGGGGATGAGGTGAAGCTATCTTTACTCTGGGCCCAAAACACTTTTGAAATCAAAAATAATATATTTTAATAGTTTCCTATTGTTGACGTTAATACAAATATTTAAAATAAATTATGCTTTAAGAACTCTAAATACTGTTGGTAGAGGTAGAAGGAGGTCTGCCCGGAGACGTGAGGGTGAACTACAGCTGAGTCATTGGTGCTCCTGGGCTTTATTCCATCTGTGCCTCGTCACTCCCTGTAAAGGGAGGGAGCTGCCGCCACAGTCCAAGCCGAAGTCACTGAGACTTCTCTCAAACTTGTGTGTGTGCTGAGGAGACTCAGATGTTGGCCTCAGCTCCTAGGCTGAACTCAGCAGATCGACCCATGAAAACTTCTGCATTGAGACAAAGGAAAGGATCCGCCAGAAAGAAACACCTTTTATCTTGGGCTAGGCAGCAAGGAAGAAAAGTAGTGGAAATACTGCAATCTGAAAAGCAGACTGAAAGGTGACAAAGAAGCTGAAGATGGGTGGTGGAGAGAGGTATAACATTCCAGCCCCTCAATCCAGAAATGTTACTAAGAACCAACAGCGGCTTAATAGACAGAAAACCACGGATCAGAATTCCCAGATGAAAATTGTTCATAAGAAAAAGGAAAGAGGACATGCTTATAACTCCTCAGCAGCTGCATGGCAAGCCATGCAGAATGGGGGGAAGAACAAGAATTTTCCAAATAATCCAGATTGGAACTCTAGTTTATCAAGTCCCAGCTTGCTTTTTAAGTCTCCAGCTAGTCAGAACTATGCTGGAGCCAAATTTAGTGAGCCATCATCACCAAGTGTGCTTCCCAAACCACCGAGCCACTGGGTTTCTGTTTCCTTTCACCCTTCAGATGAGGAAATAATGACATTTCAACTTAAAATCTTACTTAAAGTACAGGTGTAAAGATGTTCAAATATAGTTATATTTACAAATAGTTGTCAATTGCTATGAAAGAAATTCATTAGAGAATCTATATGTAAAACTGATAATGTAAAATTATAATCAGATTTCATTTCATTGGTGTGTTGTGTGCACTGTGATGTAATGGCAGCATCAGTGCAGCTTAAAATAATTGTACTTGACAGTGTTCTCAATTAGGTAACTTTTAAGTGAAATGACTCATTTAGATTTGATAAATCAACTTTTTTATTATTTAGTGGGAAAAATAATTTAAGGTTCATGGGTCAGACTTACTTGAAGTGATTCAAATTATAAGCATCTAGCTGACACCAAGTTGGAAAACCAGGCAGACATCTGAAAGTTTGTCTTAGGAATACCCAAACCAGTAACATGCCAACAACCTAATGCATTGCCAGTGCCAAAAGAAAATGTGAATTTTCTTAAATAGCTGCATTTCACTAAATTGTAGCGATAAATGTGTAAAGGGCACTTGGGACTTACTAGAATGAGGCGTAAATACTCTGGTGGCTCTTAAAAAACAAAATGAAACCGTGAACTGGCATCTGCCAGTAGGTGTACCAGAGCTTTTTGTAGCTTTCCAAGTACATTTTTGTATTGCAGCACCACACATGCAAACGGTGATCTGGCCTCATCCCTGAAAAGCTTAAAGTAGGGAGTGATATGATGTGAAAAATTTACCTACTGAAAAAGAGCAATGTAAATACATGTAATAAGCTTGTAGCATATGTAAAGTTTTCTTGGCTTTTATTCTACAGAAAATATTTTAGTATGAATTTGCTGAATGTAAAACCATGGACTGTTATACTATGGCCTAATTTTAGAGGTCCACAGTTGTTTTTAAAGTTTGCCCTTGTGCTAAAGTGCCAGTGTATGTATAACTGATTTGGTTGTAAACTGTATATCAAAGTAATTCCCAGTGTAATATGTTTTATATTACAACTAAAAAGGTATAAGCTGCTAAAACATTTCTATTTTTAAGAGATGAAAAGTGCAGTACAGGATTCCTTCACTAACCAGTGTTTAAACTCGAAGATTAATTTTGGCTTTCACCACAAAGTGTTGCCATTGATTTTTGGTCATAAGAGAAATCCAAGGAACCACTCATGCAAAAGATTTCTCTTGCATAACATCCAACCCAAAATCCAAAATATTAAGTTAATCTAGTAGCAAGGAAAAATATCAATTGCTGATGCCCTATTTTCCAAACAGAAAAGCAAAGTTGTGCTTCTCCAGATTTGGATGAAACAAACAATATTGTCCAAATGAAATATTGACTATTCTAAAGTTTATGTAGTATTTAAATGTGTATGGTATGAATTTGAAACATGAAATTAAAAAAATGTTTTCTTCCCCCCCCCCAAAAACGAACTCTAAATACTAACTCAATTGTTTTCCTGTGATTTTGAGGACTTTCTTTTTACTACTTTCTAGATGGACTTTGTTTTCTGTTTTAATAGGCTGATTTCTGCTTATCAAGAGTTACCAGCCACACTTTAAATCCATATCACCTACTGACATAAATGAATTAAGATGCTGCTGCTTTACAGTGATCCAGATGACACCCAATGCAATGTATTTCTTAATTCTTTTGAGGGAGCTTGGTAGAATCAAAGTTGTCAAAATGATGACATAGAAACTATTTCTATGACAGATATGCCCCAGAAACTCTACCTAATTATTGACCCCCTCATATGATATTGTGTATTTATATTTATTTCATAAAATTCCCTTGTTTGAAAATCGCAAAATTGCTACTGGAGAGGTATCAAAGTTAGACAGTATGGGCCAAGCATAGTTTGGGTCAAACCTGTCAATATGATTAAAATTTTTCATCAATTTCTTCTCAGTTTAGTAGATGTCAGTAAACTCTCTTTGTTGAGGTCCAGGTAGTAAATATTTTAGGCTTTGTGGGCTGCTATGACTACTCAGTTTTGAGTGGTAGTCAGATTGTAGCATGGCAGCAGCCATAGGAACACATAAATGAATGGACATAGCTGTGGTGCAGTAAAACTTTACTTTTAAAAATGAGTCATGAGCTGTGTGTGTCAACCCCTAGTCTGAACTGTGTACAGGAACAGAAGTCTGTTATTAAATAAGAATTTATATTCATCTTTAGTTAAAATCTTTCTAAAAGGTGCACATAGAAATCAGTAGTTGAAAACTTGAGTGGATTGGATAATATTTCATCATTTTTCTCATCAACTCTTTTAGCAAATGAGGGTTTAGACTGAATCTCTACCTTGGATTGAATTTCTACCTTGAATAAACTTGTCAATTCATTGACTTTTGATTTCTCTATTTAAATAAATTTAATTGGAAGGCAAGAAGATATGGATATATGTTGTAAGTAAAAATAGGTATGAAAAATGATATCAGTAATAAATACAGCATTGTAGAATTTTAAAATACTTCTTACTTGATTCTCGTGATTATTTCTGTTATTATCCTCAACTTACATATCTGGAGTCTTGGGCTCATATATATTTAGTTGATCCCACAGAAGAATGGATACCTAGCGAGGTTTACATGACTTATGCAAGTACACATAACCATTAATGCAGAACCATGTTGCTAGTATTTAAGATTCCAAATAGTATCTTATTACCTTCACTATCTGAGCAGGAAGAGTTCTCTTTGTGACATGGTTAAACACTATTTAATTCTTCTACAGTCTTGCCCTGTAGAGTAAAGCCAAATTCAGATTTATGTGTTAAAAGAGGATCATTTGAATATGGAATGATAGGGGGTTTTATATGATAAGGCATCTTTATGGAACTAAGGTGCTCACCCCAATAAAAGGGGCACAGTTGTTGTTTGTATGAGGTGAAAAGTGAAGAAAAGTACAAAAGTTTGATCATCATTTATTTCCACTTATATGGGAATCTATTGATTTCTTTATCATGGACTTTTGTATATCAGCACAGGGATAGGTCTACTGAAAGGTATGTGCGTTTGTGTGTGTGTGTGTGTGTGTGTGTGTGTGTGTGTGTGTGTGATGGGGAGAGAGGGAGGGAGAGAAAGAGAGATTGTGGGTATGGATGAGTTTCTCCTCTTCCTCCTTTCTGCCACTTAGCTAAGGAGGAAACTAGTCACACAAAAAGATACCTTATTGTTGCCTAGCTGTGACCTGGTGGTTTTACTTCTACAATTTTCCCCCCAGTACCCAGCTGGGAAACATTTTGGAGACTAACTTTTGTAAGCTTTGTCTTCTGGTCCCCACAGCTTCTAGTGTCCATGCTTTGAGGGCAAGTCTGCTAGATGTCCCCCAAAACCTCGTGTGCTCATATATGGAGCTTTTATGAGTGACTAGAGTGTGAGAATATGGGTTATGGGTGTGTGATAACTGAATCAGTCCTCTGATTGGATTAGCATAGTTCTGGGTGCGGCTGAATGGATTTACTGAAGACAGAGGACCCACTCAGTGTGAGTAGCATCAACCAATAGGCTTGTAGCCTGAATGGAATAAAAAGAGAAAGGGAGGCTTGCTGCTTGCTGCCTCCTGCCTACCATGCCATGGACTGTTTCTCCTCTGTGTTGGCTCTCTCCCATGCCACCCTGCTATGACTATGTACTGAAACTTCCACAAACTGTGAGCTAAAATAAATCTTTCCTCCTTTAACTTGTGGGTTCCAGATATTTTGTCCCATCAACAAAAACGTAACTAAGACACCCTCTGACAGCTGCTTGCCAAAGCTCTATCTGTATATCCATGCATACAAACTGCCCCTTCCCAGGACTTCCTCCCTGGGACTTTATCTTGCTGTTTGAAGTTCTGTGGAGCATTTGGTAGGCACGGAAGAAACTGATGAAACCCCGAGACCTTGAGGAATAGTTACATGCCCACAGACAACCACACTCCTTCTCATAAATATTCACACCTTACTTACCCAGAGCTCATCTGTACATTCACTGCGGAGACTACAGTGGGGACCAAAGATATTTGCTCTCAAAAGGGCCCTTGCACTCTCATTCTCACAGTCTGTCTACTCTTATTTGGTACACAAGTTCAACCAGTTTGGCTATTAACTGTGAACTAAAAGCAACTTGGAAGGGAGAGAGGGGCAAGAAGAGCAGTCCAAAGACATGGTTCTCTTTCTACACTCCTCATTCTAGGACTGGTACCCACATTTATCCAGGTGCCCAAAGACCTATGTGACATTCCAAGTGTCCTGAGAGAATGAGTGTGATACCCTGATGGGGAGCACTCTATAGATAAAACAGCCCAGAGAATTCATAGCTCTAGGGCCTGAGTTTCTAGGATTTTGTTATTAGTTATAGCAAAATACACATTTTCCATTAAATTTATTATTCATCATGACAATTTCGAGGTTTTGGAGTTCATTTAAATTCTTACCAGTATTTTCTGTTTTAAAGGGAGACGGTGAGTACGTTTAGAGGTGAAAGCACCTAATGGTTAAGAGCTAAGTTAATGCACCTTTGAGTCTTGGCCTCAGTGACCAGCAGTGGGGCAGTGGCATGTCACATGGCGGCTCTGTAAGCTACCTTTTCGCATCCATAGGATGAGACCAGATTCCCTGCCTTCACACACCTGTCACACAGGAGCTCCGGGAAGTCAGTGAGATAAGCTTTAGAGCATTTGCCCAGTGCCTAGCAACTTAGAGATGCTAGACATTGATTGTGGACGTAGGAAGTAATATCCATTCACGCTTTCTTAAGAAATGTTTGTACCTCAAATGGTTAACATCAGAACATCAGAGTACATAAAGGATAACTGTAGTTTTCAGAACAAGCACTTCCCAGGGATCATAGAGAGACAGGGCTTCCTGCGTCAAGTTCTAACTCTAACTCATCTACTCTAACCATCTACTTTTGACATTTTTAATGGAAATACCTAAACCGTCCAGCTAACGTGGGCTGATTATGATTTCACAAATGTTTGGCTAATGATAATGGAGATTTTTACCTTAGAATGTGACACAGAGATAGGTCAGCATTTTCATTCACATTTATGTCCTTCGCCATAAGTAAACATAACA